TAGGGAAGGTGCCCTTGCCTTGTGCTAGACTCGTACCTCTCACTGATAAGCAGTATTTGCAGTTTTTGAAGTGAGTCTACTCCAATTGGTTTGTATAAAAAGTGTGATTTGATAGATGTTCCAAGGTCACTTGAGAATAGAAGGTAAAAGTAGACATGTTTTCCTTAAGGTTTTAATAGGGATGTAGAGGTGTCTCTGGGGAAAGATATTGTATAAGGATTTTTGAATATGCTTTTATTTGCATGTATGCTTCTAATGATAACATATTAAATTTGAATTGCATATGGGTGAAAAATAGACCACAACTGTTTCTACATCAAAATGTAGGGAAGGGTGAAAGCTGACAGTCTGTTCACATTTGATTGCAAAATATCAAAATACTCAGGTTGTTTCTTCAAATACACTAATAAATAATATATGTTGCTTGAAAAACTAGCATACCTTTGGACCATTCGACTATGAGAGTCTCCAGCAAGATCTTGCTTTAAAAGATACAGTGTGGAAAAAAGTGTCACCTGAGTCAAACGAGGACATCTCCAGAACCATAGTGTATAGAATGGAAGGTCGGGGAGAGCAAAACTAAAGAAATGGGCTGTAGTTACAAAACATTCTTCATTATAAAAGCACTCAAGAATCTCTAGATTAAACTTGGATTTGAGTATTGTTTTCTTAATATTTTGCTTGTATATACAATTTGTGTAAATACTGTATGCCATACAAAATCGAATGTCAACATTTTAAAAAAGAATGAAAACAACACTATTAGCTGACATTTGTAGTTCCTTAAGACAAATTTACATACACATAATCTAAGTATCTTTAAAGATATTCCTACTTTGATATACCTGAGTAACTGAAGTAGTTAAAGGTGGACTCTTCAGCTGAGAGAGATGATGTCATATATGACATCGTATCTGATTTGGAATGAAGAGATTGTAAGTATATAACACAAAGTAAAATCTTACTGCCAAAACATAAAAGATAATGAATTCACAAATAGTTTTATTTTAAACGGATATAAATTATGAATCTGATACCACCTGTCTATAATCTTCTAAAGAGTTAAGGCAGGATTAGATTTCATTGCACTGTGTTAGCAAAAATAAGCAAAGTTGATTACCAAGTCTTACTTTTTTTACCAAATATTTTTAGTAAGTGATACTGAGATTTTGACAATAAGAGCAAAGTATCTTGTAATCGCATAAAGCTGCTTTACTTGCATAGCTAGGTAGCTCAGAGGATTATTAGCAGAGTATTTTGAGTGACTTGCTAGGAGCTTGTACTGTCAGTTGGTAGCTAAGGTTCAAAAGTCTGCCTCACTAATAATGCTGCAGTCTATTCTTACAGAATGTAAGTAACATTAGGAAGTAGTAAAGTAGCCATCTGAATGGTGAACAGGAAATATATACTTAAATTTTAGTAAGGATTATTAAAACAGTGTTTACAAAATAAATCTTATTGAATGAATTAATTTTCAACAGATGAATAGCTTTGTGTGTGCATACTTATACAGCAATTTTATTAGATATATTATTAACTGTTTCCTTTTTGTAGTTTGAATTTGCACCTCTTAAGTACTACTTTAGCCATAAAGCTTTTTTGTCTTTTATAACTTTTTGTCTCTTAAAACACGTCTTTTAAAGCTTAAAGAATGGTTCTGTTGGATGGCTTGGCCATCTGTGAAATTGGTCACAATAACTATTGAAATTAGTTTGTGTTCCATGGATAATATTTGGCAAAAGGCCAGTTTTTTCATTGTTGAGTTCTAACATAGATGTTTTGCATTGATGCTGATTTTTGTGTAGAATTCTTTGTTGCTTATGTTGATTTCCCTTTGTCCTTGCCTCCACTGTTTTGTGATTCTTATACCCCACATCTCTTAGCCACCATACAAAGATTGATTTTATTAACTCTGAAGATTTGTCCAAGAATTTTTCGTGAAAACTATTCATTTGCATAAATAATATCTCGCTGATAATTCAGGAGCTAGTGATACATATGGATCCTGTTCACAAAGCTCCCTCTCCTGTTCTGCTTTCCCAAGAAGTTCCAAAATATGCAAGTACTTACATTTTGCACAAGGAAGAGTGTACATTTATTAAAGAATGGATGGGAGATATGCCAAGCTATATAGGTATTCATAAAAGAAAAATAACTATGAAGTAAGGCATATCTATGATAATGAAGAAGCCTGTCTTGAACCATACATGTTTTTGCAAACTTGTGAAGAGCTTCAAGATGTTATAAAAAGTATTGCTGCAAATGGGCCCAAATGATTTTTTTTTTTAAGCAGTGCATTATGAAAGCATACTTGTATTATTGGGCTACTTGACTTTGAAGTAAATAATTATAATAGAATTGCATAAGCAGAATAATTCAGCAAACTAACTTGTGCTGTATTTAAATTCTGATAAAATGAACAGGAACAGTTAAAGGCACTTAGAAAAAAGGGCATATATTATTGAATGAAAAATAAGCTTGTATTTCTATACCAGTTGTCTTCCAAAATTTGGAAGGAAAAGAGAAAGAAAGGGAGTTAAGGTCTATCCATCACAAGGTATAAAAGGGCGAAAATGTATGTATGAAAAAATCAGGTTATGGTAAAACAGCAGTTAGAGAATGATGCAGGTGATGGGTCTGAGCCTGCAGTCCTCTTTATGTGCATCTTCCAGTTGTGTTCGATTAGCTCGGGGCGAGCCAGATGCAGCCTGCCAGGCCATTCTACCCAGCCCACGGGGCCCCTAAAAAATTTAGAAACCTAATATTTATCTGCCCTGGCTGCCTGTCATGCAGCCCTTGGTGACTTGCCAAAACTGAGTAAGTGGCCCTCCACTTGAAATAATTGCCTGCCCTGGATTAGCTGGTATTTAATACTCAGACTAACAAGAACAGTTTGCATTGCTGATTTCACATGCTGAATGCCATTAAAATGCACCTGTGTGAGGCAAGGCATTTCTTGCTGTTGAGCAAATCCTAAGATTTGTTTTTACATTATTTTGAAACAAATGTAAAAACTACAGCTAAAACTGGAGACATTGTTCCAACTGGATGCAAACCTTATAGTAGAAATACAAAACTTGCAGTGTTTACAAATGTAAATTGCAGATGGAATTTAGTGTAGAGGAAACAAATTATAGCTTTGTATTGAGCATGAGTACATTTACAAGACTCAAGTTGAATTCAACATGTATATACCTATAAATAATAATATCCATGGTTATAATTATTCTTTTCAAAGTTTTGAAAGTGGTTAAAATCTTCATGCCTCAGACCCAAAGCCAGTCTCTTAACAGTTAGGAGGAAGCTTTCACTTGAACCAGTTTGCCCTGCAATTTGTGTTTCTCACAGTTTCTTAGTCCTTGTCTAAAGCATCTGGTTATTGGCTGCTGTTGGTGTATGTATTCACAACTAATGGGACCACCGTTTGAACTATTATGGCAATTTTTGCAGGCCTATGCATATGATTTGTAAACAAGGCCCTAACAAACATGGTGCTAGAAGTTAACCATTGCATGTTTGTTGAAGTACATAAAGGTGTTATTGGTCATTTGTGTTACAGGTATACCAATTCTTGATATTCAAGTATTTTAGTTGTTTGTTAGTTTGTTTGTTTTTCTTTTATCAGCATCAATAACATTTCATTGGAAATGTATGTGCTTTTATAAACTTTGTTTTAGCATTTGTGTTGTACTTTTGGTTCAGTTGTGTAAGTTACTCTTTCCATTTTTCATTTGCATTGTATGTTATTTATGTATATTGATTTCTAGCATGCTTATTTTTGTATTGTGTAATAAATGTATTTTAAGCTTGTTTTTTATTGTATTTTTTGTATTTATGAAGTACTACGACTTGCATTCAAGCATATTTTTGGAGACTGAAGTGAGATTGTGAACATGTCTTTTTATTTTAAATCAAGATGAAGTTTCTGGAAAAAGTAGAAATGAGGAATGATTAGTTAAACATTAATTGACGATACCATAAAGATTTCTCCTGTTGTATTTTGTTCTGAATTCTTACTTGGTTTTCTTTTGACTTAAAGTAACAAGTTCAAAAAAATCTGTTAACATTGGTTTTTCTGTTTAACTGCCACCGCTGACATTTTTTTCCCTTCTAATAAGTAGGTGCTAATGTGACTGAGTTCTTAGTTTTACTCATATAGCAAAATTCCTGATGTCGTTTTGCACCCACGTTGTTCAGAGAGATTTCAAGTCGAAGGCTTATGGCAAAGAAGTTGGGAAGCATGTTGGTTGTTTGTTGTCCCAAAAGAATAATTGTGGTTTAAACTTAAAAAAAGTTTTAACGTGTGTATGTTATTTACAATCCAGGAAATATCCCATGCTTCATCTTAACAGTATGACTGTAGACTAGTTTGAGGTTTGAATAGTTGATATAGTGATTCTTGCAGTGTTCTGGGGCAATATCTGACTTTCGAGCAAAGAGTATATAACTTGGCATATTTTGCACCCTCTGTCATAAATTTAGCATTTGATGTTGCTAGATGTAGTGGAAGCTTGTGCAGAAACAGAATGCAGGATATTAGAGATTCATAACAGACATTCTGAGAGGATTTGCTTTTGAGATTAACTATAAAGTGGAAGGGTCTTAATAGGCTTGTTTGTTTGTTTGTTGCAAACTAATAAACTGCAGTAACTCATGACATGCTTTAAAAATAACTATTTTTTAACAGAAGTCTTGAGGATACTTTTACATATATACATAAAAGATCCCTGATGATTATTTTCCATCATCAATCAAGAAGATGAAGATAAAGAGGGGCAGTAACTGTGAACCAGTATGAGCGAGGTTAGAAACCTTCACTTAGTTTTATAGGTTCTTCGTACCTCCTTTTTTGTTTTTGGATGTGTGTTTTTAATTTGTAAACAACCATATTTTGGAGGAGAAATGAGACTAGGGGAAAATACTTAAATTGGCTCAGGCCATCTATTGCTGTACGTTTTAAAAGAATACGATTTTGCATTTCTCTAGGTCTTGATATATTTGTCATTGACTTGTAATGCACAATATTTAAACATGAGCTTCATCACTTAACACCACAATTCTGTTTTTTAATTTGGTTTGTGTTGAGCAAAATAGCATAACTTTTTGTTTCAGTTGGAAAGTTGGATTGAATATTCTAAAATGTTAATATTCAACAACTAAATCCAGCCTTTTTGTTTGCGGTTATGCTTAGAGGTGCGCCATATCAGATTGGCACCGATAAAAGGAAAATTAACATTATCGGCTTTTTTTGGCTGATGTTAACCGGTAATGCACCATTAAATATAATATGTCTTCTGGCTGGGGCCCCCGGACACCGTGAACAGTCGTACACAGTCAGGAATACAGCTGGACAGCATGGAGAATATGCCTTGCAGGTAAGTCTGTGGAGGGGAAGAGGAGTGGGGGAGGAAAGGAGTGCGAGGGGCCAGATCAAGGCCCCCCACAGTGAGGGAGGGAGTGGGGCTGGGTCTGGTGTCTGTCCAGCAGCGGGAGACACAGTCATCACCGCTGCTGGACAGACGGGAATGCGGTATGGCCGGCATGTGGCTCCTGGGGCAAAGGCAGCAAAGCAAAGAGCCCCGAGCCCACAGCAGGCAGCCTGCTTTTGCTTTCGTTCCACTCAGCTCCTCTCCTGTTAAAGTAGTCCTGGCGCTTAAAAATGGTGGAAGTGCTTCAATTAAAACTCATTCAATGAGCTTTAGTTTAGGCGCCCCCACTGCCATTTTTAAGCACTTGGGATGCTGATCTTCGGAACAAGTTGCTCATGCCTCCACCCAACTCCCCGCCCCAGCCCTGGGGTCACGCTCACTGCTCTGTCCCTACCCCTGCCCCACTCCCTCCCACACCATGATGGTCTCCATCTGTGCCCTCCCCCCTCTTCTCCACGCCCCTTCCCCTTTACAAACTTAACTGCAAGGCGCTGCTCTCCATGCTGCCCAGCTGCATTCCTGTAAATCAGTTAACAGATTTCATAGACATTTGGGCTGGAAGGGACCCCAGAGGATCGAGTCCAGCTCCCTGCCCCAGGAGCAGGAAGTCAGCAGGGATCATAGGATCCCAGCAAGATAAGCATCCACATTTGTCGTGAAGGTGTTCAAAGTGGGTGCTTGAACTGCCTCTGGCGGCAGTCTATTCCAAACCTTGGGGGCTTGGAGAGTAAAGAAGTTCTTCCTTACGTTCAGCCTGAATCAGTTGTGTAGGAGTTTGTGACCACTGGATCTTGTCATCCCTTGGGGTGTTCTGGTGAACAGATGTTCCCCCAGATCCTGATGAGCATCCCTGATAAACTTACTGATTGCCACCAGATCACCCCTCAGCCTGTGCTTTTCTAGGCTGAAAAGCCCCATGGCTCTCAGCCTCTCATCATAAGGTCTGTTTTCCTGACCTCTGATTATGCACGTGGCGCTCCTCTGCACTCTCTCAAGCGTTTCCACATCCTTTTTGAATTGTGGAGCCCAAAACTGGATACAGTACTCCAGCTGCGGCCTTACCAAGGTTGAGTACAGCAGGAGAATGACATCCCAGGATTTGCTTGAGAAGCATCTATGATGCAAGCCAGTGTTTTGCTCGCTTTACTAGCTGCAGCATCACACTGAAGGCTCATGTTCATTTTGTGGTCAATCATGACTCCCAACTCCCTTTTATCTGTAGTGCTAACCAGCGTAGCACTGCCAAGCCTATAAGCATGCTGCAGGTTTTTTTCTCCCAAGGTGGAGAACCTTGCATTTTTCAATGTTGAACACCATCAGGTTCTCATCTGCCCATTTCACGAGCCTGTCAAGATCCGCCTGGATCACCCTCTTGTCCTCAGGTGTGGATGTCATCGGCATCCTCAGATGTCAACTCTGTCCTCAGAGTTTGGTGTCATCGGCAAACTTGGCCAGTCCGCTTCTGACACCAATGTCCACATCATCGATGAAGATGATAAACAGTATAGGCCCTAGGACAGAGCCTTGAGGGACCCCACTGGTGACCGTGCACCAAGACGATTGACTTCCGTCAACCACCAGCCTCTGGGTCCTACTGCGAAGCCAATTCCCCAGCCAGCAAATCATGGTGAGGTTGAGGCCGCAGATAGGCATTTTTGCCAAGAGGTGATCATGGGATACTAGATCGAAGGCTTTTTTAAAGTCAAGATATACGACATCAATCTCTTCCCCTTTGTCCAGGTGATAGGTCACCTGGTCGTAAAAGGAAATGAGATTTGTTGCAGGTAGGTCTTGCTTGACCAACCTGTGCTGGGTATCCCTCAGGATATTGCTGTCAGCTAGTCTGTTAAGGATGGTCTCTTTGATAATCTTTTCCAAGACCTTCCCCAGGATAGAGGTCAGGCTGATGGACCTGTAGTTTGCTGGATCTACTTTCCTCCCTTTCTTAAAGGTTGGCATGACATTAGCCTCCTTCCAGTCTTCGGGCATTTCACCAGAGCACCGTGAGTTCTCAAAGATCCATGCCAGGGGCTGAGCTACGGTGTAAACCGTCAGGGCCAGCTGACTTGAAGGTATCCAGCCTGTCAAGGTGTTCCTTCACAAGATCAGCTTCAATGGAGGGTAAGGAATCTCCCTCACTTGGGCCTCCTTGACCCACAGTGGGCAGGGGTGTCCCATGGGACTGGTGAAAAACTGATGCAAAGTACCCATTTAGCAAGTTTGCTTTTTCATGGGCATCAGTTGTCCCATCTGGTTTAGCAGGGGTCCAATGTCGCCCTTGCTTTTCCTCCGGCTCCCCACATGTCTAAAAAAGGACTTTTTGTTGTCTTTGATATTTGTAGCTAGCTGGAGTTCCGTCACAGCCTTGGCTTTCCTGGTTTGCTCTCTGCAGGTCCAGACCAGTGCAGAGTATTCCTCCTTGGTGGTGGTTCCAGTCCTCCATCCTTTGTAGGTCTTCCTTCTAAGACGCAGGAGGTCTGCCAGTTCCCTGGAGAGCCAAGGGGGCTGCTGTGCCCTTTTGCTGCCTTTCCTCAGAGATGGGATGGACTTTGCTTGCGCATCCAGGATTGCTCCCTTGAGGAGCAACCACTCTTCCTGAACTCCCCTCCCATTGGGTTGTGTCCCTTTAGGGCATCACTGACAAGCCTCCTGAGCTTGTCAAAGTCAGCTTTCCTGAAGTCAAGGACTTGTGTATTGCTGACTGACTTGCCAGCTTTACGGCAGATGGTGAAGGTGGTCAGCTCGTGGTCACTGTCACCCAACTTCCCTTCGATCCTTAGGTCGCAGATTAGGTCGTCCCCGGTTGCCAGTATGAGGTTGAGCAGCACTTTACCTCTCTGGCCCATAGACTTCCTGCATCAGATAGAGAGCTTTGCAACTGTTTGGATTTGGCTGAGTGCTCCTTCCACGAGATGTCTGGGTAGTTTGTCTCCCATGACAACCATGCACCGGGAGCACGTGGCCTCAGCCAATTTCTTGGCAAACTCCTGGTGAAGGTCTTGACCCTGGGTAGGGAGTCTGTAGTACACTCCTACCATAGTATCCCCTGTGCTGTGTTCCCCATGGATTTTAACCCAGAAGGTCTCAAGTCATCCACCGTGGGTGCCAATGTTGGCTTGCAGGGATGCGTAGCTTTCCTTGACATAGAGAGCTACACCCCTGCCCCTTTTGTCCACTCAATCCCTCCTGTACAGGTTATAGATGTCTCTACCTGTGGCCCAGTCATGGGTGGAGTCCCACCAGGTCTCCGTTATCCCTATGACATCATAGTTATTTGCATTTAGCAGGAGGACAAGTTCCTTCTGTTTATTCCCCAAGCTCCTGGCCTTTGTGTATAGGCACACAAGTGTCCCTTTGGGGGCCCTTGCCTTGCCCAGGGCTGC